GAGTGGTGGAGAAGAACAGGAACAGAGAATGTGGACGAGTTGTACGTATTACTAGAAAGTTCGTTAGACTACTACGGTATCACAGGAGCTCGACAATGGAGGCAGATCACATTATGCACAGAACTAGTGATCAGCGGTCATCTTACTTAATCAAACAGAGCAGACAACTGCTATAGACGATACCTCTCACACGGGATGGTATCGTTTAATGGTAGCGGGCATGATGGTCCGACGCGCGTTGTTGCTGCCAAAGTCACTGGTGGAGGGGCGGAGTGGGATTTGGCCAAATACCTTCCCTCAGCCCTTACACCAATAACATTGGTAGCAACCCCCAGCCATCATGCCCACTGCTTTTGATGAAAATCATATTAAATACAATCTGGCATTCAAGAAAAAAGTCTGCAGACAAGCTTGACGAACCCTAAAATGCAGGGATTGATGAGAAAATAAATATTTCTCTGGCTGGAAGAAAAACTTAGAAAAATAACGTACGACGTTGGTAGCGTACCGTAAGGATGCTGATATGCAGGCGACAAATTTGAAAGAGCATATCGGAAGGATTTAACAAACATCGATTAAAAAATGAAAGGTGCAGCACCGGAGCGGGGCGTAGAGGTGGTACAGAATGGAGACGAACCCCATGAACGAAGAAGAATGCCTCAACGATACAAAAGCAAAGCAACTCGGCGAACAGACGGGCCAATTCAACGGAAAAAGTCGTCTCCAAATGGATCTGCACGATTAGCCATAACTACTGGTGCTGGACGCATTGGTACGGCGCCCAGAGCGTTCAGTGAAGCCTGAAAAGGGAATAGTTTTCTACGATATGGCTCAGGAAACAATTCAAGAGAAGAGGGGGCAAACAAGATTGCTGCCTAACACGTTGTTTAAATACCCTCCGTTCAACCCTTGGAGACACATTCCGCGATAACGAGATGGGCAGAGACACAGAACCATTGGGCCTCTCTCATTGAGGTGCATCCCTTCTTTTGGAGCGGGAGGAGGAGGACGAGCCGATGAAATGATTCTCAGTTCCGCTCATATTATCAATACGGGATGCAGTGCGCCTTTCATAATCAGCTTAGGTGAGGGATTTCCTCGGACTGGAATCCCTTTCAGATATATCTGTAGAAGTATGAAAATGGGCCGGACGTTTCTTCGACAACCCGCACATTTTCTACTGTCAATGGGTGGTAGTCTGTCTTCGAGGCAAACACCCTCCCCCCCGCCGCCCGCCCATCAAGTTAGCCCGTTCTTCATTCCGCAGCTCAAGTGAACGCGAGCACTACCTACGAAAAAGCTCGGGCGTTGTCAAGAGATCTCGCCCGAGTATAGCGTAGATAGTAGTGCTTTCAGTGCCAGACCGCAAAACCTTGCCGATGAAGCAGGTTTTTTTCGGAATACAACCATTCCTCCTCCCCTCAAATTATTTCCTCTGTTAAGATCCCCACCCCTTCCCTGCCCCATCTTACCTAACATCTTCCTCTTTTAACCATACAAGCTTTCTAGCCGCTTGTGAGTAAATCCTCAGTTTTTTCAAAAATTGATTCACTGGGGAGGATACCAAAATGCGACCCCGCTGAGGATTCCAACCTTATGGCGTCCCCTGCTCCAGGGACAGAAATGTACAGAAGTTGGCCAAGCGAGTACATTAGTTCAACAAGTACAACGTCGTCAGTTATTCATAGCTTGGGTCGCGCCGCGACAGCGCGCGTCTGTCTGTTCACAGCACTTCACATGTTTCGAAAGGGTAATGTGTATTGCACACATAGAGAACCAACCTTAGGAGGATTGCAGTAGAATATGATCAAATGGATTCTTTTTCGTGTCGTTAGTCGGTCGAGCAACCAGAGCATTCATATCCACAAGCTTTGTGAAGGCCTCTTCCAATGACGTCACCTTGCGTTCTTCCCATTTCGACCTGCGTTTTTGAAGTGTTGCGTGCTGAAAAAGAAAGATAGTCTCTCATTATGAGAGCATATTCCAAGAAGAACTATCGGCATTTGTTCTGTTGGGAGCAGCATTGTTTGCCACTTCAGCTTAAATTCCTTATGAACTACTTCATGGAAACAGGTTCGCCCGTTTTGGTGGCACCAGTAAACCCTTGGCCATTTGCGAAATAATACAAATACAAGTAGTAGCCTCGTTTACAAGATTTAACAAGTCCTCACAAGATGCCCAGTACCGTCTTCCATGAGTATCATTTGATGCCCCAACCAAGCCGAACTAAGCCGAATTTTCTTCCTATTCCGCACAAGAAAAATCTAAAATAGTCCTTTGAAACTGGCTTCTTACTTGTTATCTCCAAAACAGTTGTTAGTGGTGAAGGAATTGGCATGGTGCATTTGCGGAGCAGCGTTCTCCTTCGTTCCCCAGTCAACAGTCCGTGGAGCAGTATTCTGTATTATTGGCTGTACATGTAAGACGTTACGAGTATCGAAAGGATCACGAGGCGGTACAAACTGGTTGAGGAGTAACGGCAGCAGCAAATGGATTCGTTTCCTGAAAATTAAAGAAAATAAAGGAGAATAATGAAAATTTCGATCACCCATTCAAGGATATGCCACACGTTCTGCGCCCACTCTACTCATTAATGGCGTTTACAATCCGATTTCACCTACACAATTATGTATGGAGCTGCCCTCATCTCCCTATTCCAACTACTATCCTTCCAGGATCTATCTTGCAGGATTCGCACGGGGATTTACCCTCGGATCATGCAGGTGGTAAGCAGCACCGCACGCCACTATACCACCCCATCCTATGAAAAATTTATACAAAGTATTTTTGGGGTTGGTTACATTCATGTAGATTTAAAACTTACAGAAAAACCTCCAGGAACAAACGATGGAGTACTGTGCGTATGTTGCATATGCGCAGCACCCCAAGCATCTGCCGTGAACGGTGCTGCAGTTTGTGGCACTGGTAACTGAAAAATCAAAATGAAAATTTGTAAAAGCGACCTCAAAATCAGTCAACTGACTGTAATACCTGGAAAGTAGGATGTGCAACCTGGGGTGGTACTGCTGGTGGTTGTGGCCATGCTGCATTTTGTGGATGAGGATTGAAGGCTTGGAACTGATGTTGATTATGAGCCGCTCCGTTTATAGAAGCATTTCCATAAGATCCATTAACCGACGATACCTGAAGTTTTGAACCTCGGCTAGGGAAATACCAGTGAAATCTATGCCGGAAACGTCGTCTATCCTAGGACAGAAGAAATGTGGGACAAGACAATCGTAATTCGCCGAGCCGGTGGGATGTCGCGCACGACATCGCTC